TGTGTGTGAGTGTGTGTGTGTGTGAGTGTGTGAGTGTGTGTGTGTGTGTGTGTGTGAAAATCTAGTGTAATTTCCACTCACTACTGTCATAATTATGAGGTGAAAATTGGACGAAATTACTTTCAAAGTTGTAATTATGGCATACTCAGTCAAAATGAGGACATAAAATGTCAAAATTATGAGATTAAAAAAGTCAAAATTATAATACAGTCAGTTTTTTGCCTTTTTATCTCATAATTTCAAGCTTTTGTCAATTTCGACGTAGTCTCATTATTTTATATTTTTGTCATATTTTCAATTTTATCTCATAATTATGACAGTAGTGAGTGGAAATTACATATTTCAACTTACTGTCATAATTTCGACTTATCTCAATTATGGCTTATAATATGTCAGAAAATAGTGTGTCAGTTTTAACTGATCTCATAATTATGACTTTGTCATAATTTCAATTTAGTATGCCATAATTTTGACTTTTTATCTCATAATTTTGACTAATGCCATAATTTCAATTTAGTAAGTCAAAATCACGACTTTTTATCTTATAATTATGACTTAGTCATCATTTCAATTTACGACGTCCTAATTTCAACATTTTATCTCATAATTATGATTTATGAGATCAGAAGTCATAGATGAATTATGAGATGAAATGTCACAATTATGACTAAGTCAGAATTATGAGATAATTTTGACTTTTTAAGACTCAGGTCATAATTTTTTACCTTTCATCTCATAATTGACATATTTCATAGTTTTAACTAGTTGAAGTATGTAATAATTTTGACTTTTTATCTCATAATTTTGACTAATCCCATAATTTCAACTTTATTTAAATTATTTCATAACTTTACTTCAATTATGTCATAATTATGACTTTTTAATCTTATAATTATGACTTTAGTCAGAATTATGAGATAATTTTGACTTTTTAAGACTTGGGTCATAATTTTGATTTTTTTTATCTCATAATTGAATTATGTCATAGTTTTTACTTAGTATGTCATAATTTCGACTTTTTATCTCATAATTATGACTTTGTCATAATTTCAATTTACGACGTCATAATTTCAACCTTTTATCTAATAATTATGACTTATGAGATCAGAAGTCATAGATGAATTATGAGATAATTTTGACTTTTTAAGACTCAGGTCATAATTTTTTACCTTTCATCTCATAATTGACATATTTCATAGTTTTAACTAGTTGAAGTATGTAATAATTTTGACTTTTTATCTCATAATTTTGACTAATCCCATAATTTCAACTTTATTTCAATTATTTCATAACTTTACTTCAATTATGTCATAACGACTTTTTTATCTTATAATTATGACTTTAGTCAGAATTATGAGATAATTTTTACTTTTTATTTTTACTATTTTTATTTATAATTGAATTATGTCATAGTTTTTACTTAGTATGTCATAATTTAGATTTTTTTTAAATCTCATAATTATGACTTAGTCATAATTTCAATTTACGTTATCATAATTTCAATTTATCGTAATTATGTCAATAATTTTGACTTTTTAAGACTCAGGTCATCATTTTTACTTTTTATCTCATAATTGACATATTTCATAGTTTTATCTAGTTGAAGTATGTAATAATTTTGACTTTTTATTTCATAATTCTGATGTGTCATTATTTGAACTTTCATCTCATAACTCTGATTTACCAAAGCATGATTTTGTTCGTATATGGCAGAAATGGGCTTACTTGGTGAGCAGAAGAGAATGTCTTCTTTCAAAAACATTAAGAAACTTTACAGACCCCAAACTTTTGAACGCTAATGTAAATATATTTCAATGCAAATATATGAAATAGTACGCAGTATAGTTCAGTATAGCATTGCATTCTGAACGCAGCCCATGTTTTCACACATGGACAGAAGAAACATGGATGGCCAATCAAAACAAATGTATTCACAAATATTTACATGAGCTTCTCAAAAATAATACAACTGCATTACGAACAGAAGTGAACTAGATGGATAATTGCATGGTGTGAGTTTGATTTCCGTTTTTTTCCCTTTACGCTTCCAAACAACGTGATTTATTTTGAATAAGAGCTGTGCTTCGATTGTTTGTCTGGTTCTTCCTATCAAAATAAAAATAAAAAAGACTGAATTTAGCTGCAAAGTTCATTGCAGCTCCGCATTTCTCACGTTCATTTGCTGACAAAGATTTTAAAAACATTGAGCGACAATCAGTCGTTCTGACAGATAAAAATAAGGAATCTGGAGGCAGAGATAATGTTACTGTCGGCATCCGTTCGTCTGTCAACGCTGGTTTTGAAATCTGTAGTCTGTACAGGAAGAGGAAGTGACGGTAAGTGCATTTGTGTTTGTCAGGTATGGAGCAGCTGCTAGTGGAGGGTCTGAGGTCAGTTATTCTCAAAGAGAGACAGCAGGTCGTCGTTGCTGCTGCTGGGAAGGTCTGGAGGATCCAGATACGACAGAAGATCGTCTGGATTCATCAGGTCTGGCAGCAGCTGCAGGAGGAAAACAAGCTTTTCTCAGCTCACAAACACACCAAACACTTATCAATCTTTTCTGCTGTAGATATAATAATATATATAAACACACAAAATTAGTTTGGTTTGTTTTTGTTGGTATTTGTAAGGTACAATATACAAACATGAAATAAATAAACAAAACAAAAAAATAAAAATGTAATGTAAAATTAGTATTTATACAAAACGGTGTACATTACTGTTGTTATTATTATTACTACTGTTACTATTATTGTTATATGTTTTTGTTATTATTGTTTTTTATTTTATTTTGTTTGTTTCTGTTATTTGTAAGGCAGAATATACAAATGTAAAGAAAAATAAATCATAAAAACAATTAAAAAAATTCTTAAAACAAGCACAATAAAAACTACAATAAACGTTTAATAATTTAAATAAATAAACAAAAAGGAAATATATAAATATAATATATATATAAATATATAAAAAATGTAATGTAAAATTAGTATTTATACAATACAATGAACATGAATTATTATTATTATTATTATTTTGTTATATATTTTAGTTATTATTGTTATTATTATTTGTTGGCTTTTGTTGTTATTTGTAAGGCAGAATATACAAAGATGAAATAAATAAACAAACAAAAAATTATTTTATGTAAAATTTGTATTTATACAAAATAGTGTACATTACTGTTGTTATTATTATTACTACTGTTACTATTATTGTTATATGTTTTTGTTATTATTGTTTTTTATTTTATATTTATACAATACAATGAACATGAATTATTATTATTATTATTATTTTGTTATATATTTTAGTTATTATTGTTATTATTATTTGTTGGCTTTTGTTGTTATTTGTAAGGCAGAATATACAAATATACAAAAGCTATAATAAAGATAATAAATAATATAATATAAATATAAAATATCAATATCAAAAAAGCATAAAAAATATCATTTAAACAAAAAATTTAAATGTACAGTGAAAATAGTATTTATACAAAATCATGTACATTTAAAATATACATTGATTGATGAATATTTATAAATTATGGATGTGCAACATATTAGTATTGGTATTAGTATATGTTTTTTAAATTATCGCATTATTTGATTGATCAGAAATATCTATTTTTTCTCATTAAAACAGGTTATAAACATATGAATGTTAATGAAATCAAGATCAAAAGTGTCTGGAGTCAGTCTGAACTCACATCTAAGGAGGCCTCGCGCATGTCTGCGCTGCTCGGACCTCCACACTGACCCTCCAGGTTGGCCGAGGGGTTAAAGATCATCTCTGGGTGCATGTGGCCGCGGGGGGCGGAGCTCTGCTGGCTGGGCGGCGGCCTGCAGGCATGGGGCGGGCCGCTGTGATGTAACGGCTGCATACTGTGCTGCAGAGGATTGTGGGATTGATCTGTGTTGAGGGGGTGAGGCGTCTGTGACAGAAAACAGAAAATACGCATGAACTGACATAATAAAAAAGACAATAAAAAAGAACTACAATAAAAGCTACAATAACAGTGCAAAAAATAATAAAAAAGATGAACAGTATTTATACAAAACTGTGTATATTTAAAAAAAATGACCATAACACAAATATAAGTACAGAACATCATGAATGTAAATAATACTAAACCCAACTGAACTGCATCAGGGGCCCGTTCTTCGCACCTCGCTTATTACAGCCGAGATGATCTGAAAGATGCCAGATCTTCTAATCCTGATAACTGATCTCTGGCTAATTTGGTTCTTCAAACGAATTTGCGTATTTGATTAAATTATCTGGATGAAGTTGTCTAAGGTTACCGCGTGCTCTCGTGGGGTTTTCTAATTCAGTCGGTAACAAAAAAAAAAAAAAAGTACTGTAAAAATAGTATTTATACAAAAACAATTGAGTAAAGAGTAAATTGAAAGAAAGAAATTAAGGATGCATAACATATTGGCATTGGCTGATATCAATGTTTTATGTATCATCTGATTAAAAAGAAATATCTTTTTTTTTTCTAATTCAAACAATTTCTCTCAGGTTACAGATATACAAAACAGTATCAATATTTTACAATAATATACATAAAATAACAAAGTAAATAGTAAAGTTAAAAATTAAATTAAATTATTGAATGAAAGTAATTTTATTTATTCATGTAAGTTATTTTATTGTTATTATTTGTAAGACAAAATATACAAACATTAAAAAAGAAATTATAAAAGTGATTAAAACAATAAAAAAGACTAAAAGTATGATAAAATCTACAGTAAAAGTGCAATAGTTTAAAATAAATAAACAAAAAAGGAAATAAACTAAAAAATATATTAATATTACATATATATAATATATATAGCATTTAATTGTTTTTTAATATTTAATATATATATATATAGGGCGATATCAGGTAAAATGGGCCATTTAAGGTTTGAGTGTCTTATCTCTTTAAAAGTTAACAGCCAATGACTGCAAAGGATTTCAAACTGTTGCCATAACAGTACTTGATATTTAGCAAATTATTTTATTGGTCTGAGGTTGCTAAGGGGGAATTTTGAGACCTGGGGCCCGTTCTTCGTATGTCGCTTATTACATCTGAGATGATTTGAAAGATTCCAGATCTTCTAATCCTGATAACTGATCTCTGGCTAATTTGGTTCTTCAAACGAATTTGCGTATTTGATTAAATTATCTGGATGAAGTTGTCTAAGGTTACCGCGTGCTCTCGTGTTCCCCGTAAAGGGCAGATGTATCGATACACGAGACCGCGATCAGCAGTGCAGCGATTGGCTGCGGCAAGACAGCAACGTAATGACATCTTATAATTAAAAAAGACACCTGACGAAAAAACTTGACACATTTCTGGAAACAGCCAAGTGAACAAAACTACATAAATGTTATTATGACAGATAAATGAAATGTGCACTGTTTATATTATATTAAAATTCACAATTATTTATATTCACAATTTCTATTTGTACAGGCTTTACATTTTTATTTCAATACTGTAATTATCAATTCATTTAATTAATATAATATATATATAATATCTGTCATCACTCAAATTAATGCACGGCTCAGATTAACTGAACAGCATGTGTGTAAGACTCGTATACAATTATAAAGTTATTATTTTATCATGAATAAATATTTTAATGAGTAAAACTGGCTGTGTCTATAGTATTATAGATTACACAACATTATAATATTATTTTCGAATTAATTTGTAAATTATTATTATTGTAAATTACTGTCCCTGGATCAGTAGGGTACTCTTCTAATAAAGTAGCAGTGGCTGGGACAGATTTTAAGTATCAATTCTGCTTAAAAAGATGCGATCTAATCCTGTTTACATGAAATAAGCTGTTTACGGATCTGTTGCTATGACAGCAACTCCAGGATGAGCTTCGAAGAACCAACCAATCAGAGATCAAGTGAAATCGTCAACAATCAAATCCAGCTAACTGAGTTAGCGACAGACGAAGAACGGACCTGCTGTGTGTGTGTGTTTCAGAGACTCACGGTATCCTGCAGCGTGTGTGTCAGGCTCTCAGAGGTCGAGAGGTCAGCGGGGGGGTGTGGCCCCGGAACGAACGCACTCACTGATGATGATGATGCTGCGTTGCCATGGGGATAGTCACCAAACTTACTGTGGCCCTGGAAACGGTTGCCTGGGAAACAGAAGTTGCATAAGAACGTGTACATTTGTATTTACATAAGCGGTGTCCGAAACTGCTCCCTATGGTTGTCAGCCATTCTGTAGTGCTGAACGACTTCATTCCTTCGTTCACTACTTTTTACCCACAATGCATTCTCATTTCGAGTGTACAACTGATGTACACTCACTAAAGCACTATTTCCCACAATCCAATGCGGAGAACTGATAAGCTGGAATAGAGTTTGAATAGAGTTTGAGAGATGCCGCTTACATCTTTCTTATTTCTGCTTTAACGTTTATTTCATGCATTATTAATCAGTTTAATATTTCACTAATTTACGGGGGTTTCATCATTGTTAACTTAAAAAAATAATGATAATTTGGTGGATGATTTAAGAATGTTTGTTAATCACCTGTAGGTAGAGTATTCATTCTGATGTAAAATTAGTCGCTCTAAAACTATTTTTTTCTTATCTGAGCACAAAATACTGCTCGGGAGAGTTTCAAGATACTAAAAATAATAAATACATCAAATTATGACCATGCTTTAATGTGTGTTTATTTTTGTTGACAGTATTTTAATAGTATTTAATGATTATGAACATATAAGCATTACAAAACAAATTAATAATATACCATCGATGAAACCACAAAGCTGACGCGGAGGTATGTATAATTACAATATAAAGTCATTTTGAGTGTTGTTGTTATTAATATTATTTTCTAAAATAAGGTACATGTAATATAAAGTAAAAAGTACATATGTCTGCGACAGCGTGTCCGAATTCGTTCACTTCATTTCGTTCACTCCTTTCTGGTATAGTGCACTCAGCTGCCATACACTATATAGTAGGGATGTAACGATTCACTCAACTCACGATTCAATTCCATTCATGATTTTGAATCGCCACATATGTGACCCTGGAGCACAAAACCAGTCATAAGGGTCAATTTTTTAAAATTGAGATTTATGCATCATCTGAAAGCTCAATAAATAAGCTTTCCATTGATGTATGGTTTGTTAGGATAGGACAATATTTGGCCGAGATACAACTATTTGAAAATC